GGCACACGAACTCCCAGTCTTCAACATTTGCGTCCGCCTATTCCGTGTAGTGGACATTTACCTGTAGGTCCGTGTTTAGAGATTACACGGGCTTAATTAGTCCCCCGTCTCGATATAGAGTTTTCTTGAACTATCCACTCGACGTACCCTTTTTCATTAGCCAGCGTCAAGAAAATCGAATGAGCTGCCGCAGGATAATTAATTTTTTTCGCAATTTTCTTGCCGCAGTTCGGCTTAAAAAAAATGACAAAACCTGCGTTTAGAAAGTAAATTTAACGTATAATGCGGTTTTAATGGCTATTTAATTAATTTTCTTGTTTTTACTAGCTGCTCATAATTGAATTAAATCGCATCATTGATGGCACGCTCTACTGCGAGCCTCCGGCCTGTTCCAGGCACGGTCTAACTCAATGAACTATCCTTCCACTACTATAAATTGTTTTATAGCACACGACTGGAGGCTCATAGTTAAAATAACTCAAAACTAAACCCATGATGACATCAAATCCTCGAAAGTGCGTCTTTTTCCCAGTTGTATTCGTTAGGTGACGGGAACAGTTTAAGTCCATGATATTTAAGCTTGAGTGTCTCATTAAGGTTGCTATCATCATCACAGTACAGTTAGCGAGAAAGAGCATCGGAAAACAATAAGAATCTGGCTTGCGTGCCCTACCAGAATTACACTACGCTCATTGTGAACGTATACCGTGTGAAGAAATTCTTTTTGCTCGGCGTCGTCTAACTGTACTCATCTTGTTCGAAATAGAACGCACTTGGCGTCTGAAAAAATAGCAAAACTGCTCGCACTAATTAATAACCCAACGGAAACGATCGGCGTAATTATTAGCATTTCAATACAGTCGGTGGTCATAAAGTAGTAACAGAGCATCTAAGTGCCCCGTAATTGCTAATTACCCGCGGACACAATCACAAAAACTGCAGTCAAATCTTTAATTACAAGTCTAATTAGCAGAAAACACACGACACGAAATTAATTTTATCGATGTTTTTTCCGAAAGCGAAAAAGCGGAGGCCGCGAGGCAAACGCCAAGATTAATGGAAGTCCTCTGGTTTTTTCTTGTTAGATGGCCAAGTCGTCACTAATTCCGATCGAAATTAATAAAACGTGTCCAAATCACTTAAACGGCGTAACCAAAACCATTAGCGAAATGGATTAAGTTGGTCTGCTTCTCAAAGTTAATGATACGTTTGTCCCGGCCAAAACTGGTCGACATGAACATGAAGTGACTCGAAATTCACAATCACTGCCTTTTGTGTGGTCTTTCTCATGATGCAAACCGAATTCCTAATCACACAATGTTTAGTCTCAAACTCGGCGTCGCTTAAAAATTCAATTGTCGGTGCACGGTCTGAATATCAATCATCCAACAATATAGTTTCATTATTGTAGCAGGTTGTATGTATAAGTAATTGCATTGTGTATTTTAACAATGCGATCTTCGCTCGACCAGTTATTAATCGTTGTCCCATTATGTGTTTTATTGAATGCTGCCGATGTACACGTCTCGTTTTCTATGCATAGCGACATAATGAAACATGCCAGCAATATACGATTCGAATCTATCGTCCGATCCGAGACTTAACGACCCTCACAGGCATAATGCTTCATTTCTGGATCTACCAGAGGCGGTTCGTCAGCTTCACCTTAACGCCACCTCCTCTTCTAAATCACTCGACTCCATTACAGACCTCCTCTTTTTCTGAAGCCCGTGGGAAATACCACAACTCCGATCCAGAAATAATTTGACTGTGCGTTCATAACTCTCGCTGCAAGACGGCGAGATTTATGCCGGAGAAGACGTGAGCCCAATAAATACTTGAGCGAGCTGTGGTCATCCAAAGACACCTTCGACTTCCTTACGACCGCTGTCGACCATCGATAACCCGGCGGACACCACTAGTCGGGCACCATTTTTTTCAATTCTGATGCAGCGGTACAGCGGGAACACTCGCTTCCAAAAATCACGACACCGGATTTAATTCGGCGAGTTTTCCGCTTCAATTTTCCTAAGTAAATTCGATTTATTCCGTTTGAAGTTTTCTGATTTTTCGGTCGAGAGAGACGGCTTGATCCCGGGTCATTTTAAGCGAACGTTCCGACGCATTCAGCTGTCACAAGTTGGCGTCTGCTGACCACTTTAATCTCATTCAGCGAACCCGGACTATTGAAAGTTGTTTTGGGTTGCCATGGAGTTTCCTGTAAAACTGACAACTCGTCCGGAACTTCGGAGGCGTCGTCTCCTAATAATTTGCGTATATTTTTCGTAGTCGGTTTCTCTCTCCGTGAAAACGAACGCTGCAATGAAGACATCCGTCCGCCCGATTTGCATAAGAGCTTGTTTGTTTTCGCGCTGGCCCATTAAGACGGAAAAAAGCCGCAGTGCCGTTAGTTCTGGCTGTCGCTAACTCGCTAATTGCGACTGGTTCTGGTCCATATCGATTGCCTGCATTACTGAAAGTGTTCCGATGTCATATTTCAAAAACTTACTTACTGCAGGTGCGGTGATTTAGCGCCACTGATTCCGTCAAAGATATCGGCTGCATCTGAATGGATGGAAATTTTTGCATTTAACATTTTCAGTTCAGGTTCCAGAGCCTGATTTTTATCTAAACTTCGTTTATCTCCGGCTCAAAGTGAGGGTTATTATGCTGCTCTTTGAAGGCACGCGGATTTATGGGACGTCCGGGTCAAAATAACGGCCAAATCTACAAATATATGGCTCGGAATGCTAAGCATCGAACGCTTTTTAACCCTTCGTACGACGGATAACCTGCCCTGAATAACGATCAACAGCACAATTTTGAGTCGACTGGTAATTGATGCTAAGGCCATATCGTCCCTATTTATCTCGAACAACAGAGACTCCTTAGTGGCGCCCTGAGTGACGCCCGTGGAGAATCGCTCCGACGTTGACGTAATTATGTTTTTGCAGTCATAAATCAAAATATCGTCTTATCGGAAAAAACGGAACAAGAGATAATGTATATAATTCCGAGTCCGCTTCTCGATTATGACTCAATTACTTGGATTAATTGTGGCGAGTGGTATTTTCCGTGGCGCGAAATTTTGCAACGCTTACAGTTAGCCTTACGCCATTAACTCAGAAGATGATCAGCCGGTTATGAACCGAATCGTCTAAATTTCCATCCTTCCTATTGTGCTCTGTGAATCTCGCGTGCGTACGGTAATAGTAATTTATTTAATTACGTGTCCGAAACAGACGCCTCAACAATCGTCGCCGGATCCCTGTGGGAATCGTGTGCATGCCCGAAATTCAAATGCAAACGAGTTCAACGACACCTCCATGGTGCGGAGTCAGTGAGTCAAGGTGGCAGCCCGATAAGGAAGCGCGTATGTGCTCCTCCTTACCTGGTTTCGCTGCAAAAGCCTACGGATTTTTCAGGAATCTGCACAAATCACGTTCCTTAATCCACCGTAACGGTACAAACATTGTTTCGCAGAGACGATGAAGAGATATCCTTTCCAATATAATGGGATTTTTCATCGACTTTCGATGCATAGCCGCGATTAAGGTGCACCGCCGGCGGTCTTCATAACTATGAGGAAACACTCCGCCAAATTGAAAATGGTAATAAGATAGAGGAGCTCGGCTTGGTAAACGCATAAATCTTGAAAGGAAGCCCGATCGATCGCAGCGCCAGGGCCGAAAATTACAGTTAATACAGTCGCCGCCTGTGGTGCGTCTGCCACTTCGGAAAAACGCATTCGTGTACTGGTAATGTTCCGCAAGCGGCCTACTTAGGCACAGTTAGTAGCAGGAAATGACCAGTGCCGGCGCAAGGGCGCAATCTCGACCCAGCAGGCTAACCGTACCACTGCCAAAACTATGTATCGTGCTAATTATTCTAATGGGATAGGCAAATCCATCTGTAAGCCGATAAACGCTGTCAAATGGTGCCGGACCCATTAGAACTAATCGCCGATCGATACGGCCCCGATTCCGAATGTATCCCGAACGGAAATATTGTCTTTAATCGACGACATTCCGTCAAGCGACAAAATCTAGACCAGTATCGTTTGAAACGCGCTACTAAATCAAATTGTCGACCGAATCAGGCAATCGGTAGCCAATAAGTACATCAATCGCTTCCCTTTGTCCCATTAGCCGCTGCGTACGTCGATAACCGTCAATACATCGATTAAAGTAATTACCAATCCGTCTCCCGGCTCCCAAAATGGGTTAGTTGTAATTTGCAATCGCAGGACGCGTAATTAAATCGAATTTAACGGGATTTCAACTCATAGATCAATCTGTCGCTGCAGCCTGCTCTGGGTAGACGTCCGCCGGTCAAGTTTTTACCGATTTATTCAAATCAGCATCGACGTGGGAAAACTCGCTCGGTGATTTCCTGTTTAGGGAAAATATGGCGTGCATGACAAAACGCGCCTCATTAAATGCGTACGCACAAAGTACCATTTACATTAATGCGATTACGATTAATTTCTAGCCGAGGAGTCGTCGAACAGGAAGAGCGGACCGCCTCGGGACGCGAATTACGAGAATTTGTGAGTCTCATCTTTCCATGCTTGAAAAATACGGGTTCGTACGGTTTAAATAATTGACACTAAGTAAGGTGGATTACGGTATTTAGGGGCAATTAGGGCCGTTATAAATTCATGGTGTGGCAGTTCTTCAACAGGTCTTGAATTCTCCCCGACTAATTACCACCAGATCGATTTACTAGGAGATGACATATAATCAAGCGGTCGTACACTTCGATAGATTCCATTGAATAAAACGTGCGTCGGAAATTCGTTGGCACGCCAATGCGGAAAAGTAACAGCGTTCGATTGTGGGGACGATTAAGCTCCTGTAGAGCACGGACACGCCGTAATGTGAATTTTATACAACTGTTCATCTATTACATAACCAAAACATAACTGAACGCAGATCTTTTTTTGTCTATTGCGGCTTCGCTCGACGACACTGACTAAAACAGATTCTTTTCTTTTCCAGGTTCAGAGCCCTAGTTCGCTTCGTATAGGTGAGTTGTAGGCGACTGCTAGTTCAAAGAATCGCATTGTGTAGACATGGTTTACGCCGAAACGACAAAGATATAAACAAAACCTTTGCGGTAGAGATTTTAGTCAGAAAAAGTTGATTGATAAGTTGTAAGTAAGCGTGAAAAATTCCGGTAGATTTCGATTCCCTCTTCAAAAAATTTCAATACCTACCAATTATGTCATTCAAAAAGTTTCGGCTACTTCACGCTCGTTCAAGAACAGTTACGACTGCTAAAAAGCAGACAATGACGAAAAATTACACGCTGCTACCTTCTGAATGCTATATTTAATAACATTTTCGAGGAAGACGGCGATTTTTGGAAATTTTCAACCGCGGGAGCAGAAGACAGATGGGGCCAACAGAACCGGAAAGAACAATCACACACTGTTGAGTCCATAGCAACAAGTACCCTTTAAGACAGAAACCTAACGTATGCATACTTTATGCGCAAACCCTGAGTTTCATTTGGTCCGAAAAAACCTGACTTCCACTGGCTGTGCACTCAAGCGCCTAAAAACAATCAGTTTGTAACGGCGAGGGGACCATTCAGTACAGTTAATTGAATAAATTGTAAATGCGTAAAAAGTGAAACTGAAAAAGTCCCTATCTAAAAGTCGTAAAGCTTTCAGTCCATTGTTGTTGTTGCAACTTTCAGCTACTCCACGATCCGAGTTTTTCGTCATAATGGAGTCGCATTCATCCGCTGCACAATACAAGCCTCCGCAATAAAACTACCCAGTGCTTGATGGTGCACCACCATTGTCAGAAGAAAGGTGCAGCGTTTACAGAGACAACTTTAATTAGTCGTTGCATACATGAGCGTTTTCTATTGGTCTGTCCCGTGTTTTACGCCACGTAATGGATGTTACCGCAATGAAACGTTGATGAAGAGCGTGTCATTATAGTGTTAATTACGAAGACGGCTATCCTGGTGGTCGTTTCCTCTTCTCTCGGTGTGTGTTTTACCAGATCTGCCCCGATACGTCATATCGCTAGACATCACAAAAAAGCCCATAATAGAACCTGGCACCCACCTATTAATCCGCGACGCAACGAATCCCCGTAATTAATTAATTCACTATTCAATTATGCTAGCCTGGGGCGACCGACCACCATTCCATACATAAGCGCCTCGATCAAGATCCACCTGTATAAATCGCGTGCGAATCACACGGGACCGTTACCATCCAAAAAAGGAACCTTCGACCCATATTGTCAGCACCAAATCAACAAATAAAGGATCATTTTTCGTCTGTCAACAACAAGATCGTGAATAATCGATAAGTCACACCGGTCGCACGCTGGGAATCATTAATTGTTACCCGCTGCATGATTGGCACTGTCGACGCAGGAATCTCGAAGTTGACGACAAGCCTCGGCTCGAAACCGGTCGCACTTTCGTCAAACGGTAAACATTCGGCAGATGTAGCACTCGAGGTACTCGACGACAATTCAAATTTTGTTTTATTAACGTTCCGTTTCGTTTTATGGCTCGTGAATAGAGAGTTATTTTAGTGTACGCGCTCCGACCTGACAATTAAATTAGCCTACTGCGCCCAAAACCGCAAGTCTTGCACATAAATTAAATCACGCCTTATAATTCACATCATTGTTGCCGATAAAAGAGTTAGCGTTCCGCCTTTCGGAATAAATTCAGCACGTAATCGGCACGACCCCTCAATTCTCGGTCCGCGCCACAAATAACATGTTTTGACTCCTTGAAATACAGACTCCTGTTGTACATAAATATATGCGTATTTCAGTTACCCAATCTCGTTTACGAATGTTATTCGTTCCGCATTCGGCCCGACTACTTTTCTTGAATACGAAACGACCGGATAACGGGGTCCGGTGCATCACATAACAGTTTTTCTCGATCGGTGCACTTAATGGACAAGACCACCTTCGTTAATCGGCCAATTTGTCGACCCAAGAGACGCTAAAAGTAAAAGACGGCGAATTATTGGTCTCTGGCAGATGTTCACGATTATTTTAATGACGGTTCGGAGCGGTACAGTTAGGGACGAGAAGAATAATCATAATCATATGCTGCGCACCGGATAAATTAGACACACAGATGTCAATATTTACCTTGCGTTTTTTCACACACGACAAGCAAAAATTTAATAAACCCGAATATTAACCACGAAATACGAAGCGGCAATAGCCAAGCTCGAAAACACCGCGAGCGACCGTAAAGTGGTGCCGTGACCAGGATTATACATTGAAAAAGCGAGAATTTCCTCCCCAACACTCCCATTCCTAAAAAAACTGCACATTAATGCTAAAAACCAAAGCACCATGGGTGTCCAAATTTCGACATAATTAGTAGCTATGAAAATCACATTAGTATACACCGACACAATTTAATAATCCTCGGGGATCTTTCACTCTGTCCACATAGTGCGAGCAGCAGGAGGCCAACTTTGAAAACATTCCGCAAAGCAACTATGTATTTGCATGTAGTGGCCATAAAGTGGTGCCGTGACCAGGATCGCACGTCTAAAAACACATGAATTTCCGCCCTAATACTACCAATCTTAAAAAAAAGTACACCATTAGCTCTAAAAACTAAAGCACCATGGGTGTCCAAACAGACGACGATCAAACTCAGAGATAATTATTAGCTATGAAAATCACATTAGTATAAACCGAAAAAAAATAATAATCCCAAATATAATCGTTACAAACCTCGGGGACCTCATTTTACGCACAAAGTACGTTGAAAACATTCCGCGAAGCAACTGTTTGTACCTGGTGAGCATAAAGTGGTGCCGTGACCAGTATCATACATTAATAAACCGGTGAGTTTCCTCCCTAATACCGCGACTGTTAAAAAAACGGCACCATTAACGCTTCGACCTAAAACACCATGGACCTCCGAACAAACAGCGATCAAATTCCGCGATAATTAGTAGCTATGAAAATCGCATTAGTATTGTAGAATACAGTTAGTAGGCAACATTTTCGCCTTTTGATGAGAGCGAACGCACAATTAATCATATGTAAATCAAGTAGGGGCAAGTTGAAAGAGCACCAGTCCAGTACCGTACAGCCTGGTCTCTTTTATTTGTAGGTTAATGGTGCGTACGGCCGTTTAAATGCCGCAATAACAGTTCTATTTATGTAGTGTTGTTGCGTTACGTTTTAATCGTAGGAAACCAATTAAAACGCTGCTGCATATCTTGCTAGCCAATCACTCATTTCTTAATCGACACGGCTGCTCATAAATTTCATTTCGCACTGAAACTGTAGCAGACCCTGTAATCTCCTTATGCAACCACGTTTACTTTCTGGCGCCCAACGCGGGGCCGTGTTCCTCGAACTCTTAATAGGATAGAAATAATCGCATAGCGTCGCGTTCACGGACAAAAAGCGTGGATAAAAAGAAAATGTACGAGCGCATCTGGCAGGTCTTTGATTACGAATGGCTCAGGAACTCGGTGGTTGTTCTTAGAAAACGAGATAGCAGACAATTCCTGTTCTGGGGATGTCAATGTTCCACTGCTTGCATCCGTATGATTACTGCAACGATTTGTCATGTGCGTGTTTTCATTTGTCGCATCACGAAACGCAGCAATGCGGCTGTTACCAGGAAGTTTAGGTGGAGAATGAAAAATTTTCAAGTAAAGAGCGATAAAACGAGCAAGACAATGGACCTAATTTGAATAAAAACATTAAAAGACGACGCGGTTATGTCAGTGGCCAAACTGGCTCATCTCGCTGCGTGATGTGATTTAATGGAAATCGGCGGTCGTCCAGAATGCAAAATTGTCGTTTTGTTACGTAACGCAGCGGCGTACTTGAGCGATCTTCAAAGTCGGTAAATGCTCGGATTCTCATCGGTAGATCGATTAATTGATTCCTGGAGCGACTCTCCGACAACATATGTCTTGTCCCAGATGCGGAAGCAGCGATTGCTCAGATTATCGATACCGACAATTATTGTCACAACCGTCGATGAATAATAAACCGGTAAGCGATTAAATGTGATAACCAGAATCTGTTTCCCACACACATAAAATAATTTGTTTAATGGTAACGGCTCCGGCTATGCTGATCTGCATACCGGCATGACCAGAAGGCCGCCGGTGCATACATGCAACGTTAATTGATGTATTATTCTAGTGTTCTGCTTTAGCAGGTTTGTTTATGAGCTGGTTTACATATACAATATTGCCAATATATTAACTTAACTATATTAACACGATATAGAGCAACAATGAAATTTATCAAATTGGCCACGACATCTGCGCCGCAACGCAGCCGCCTTTGATGTCAAAGCTTTGTAATTCGGGTCGGCATGTGGGAACTCTGACACGGTAATGCCAAAATCGGGGACTTCCCACCCAGTGACCTGCTAATGTCATCCCACTTGTTCGGTACTGTTAGGCGAAAGTGTCACTAAATGATTGCGAAAAGATAGTTCACCACAAGCTCGGACTGTACTTTCTCGATTACCCTTCCAGAAAGAAATTCTGTTGTTATAGCAATCTCTGCTTCTGCAAATCCATTCCGGATGGTTCTTGGTAGCGCCCATTGTTCGACATCCCAGCGAGACACTCGTGCTACTGTAGCTAGGTGTTGGATTAACAACGCCGTTAAAGTTAATCGCTCGTTGAAATTTCTCTCACTTGTCAAGCTGATAGGTGTTCAGCTGTCCACGTATCACCTCCCTAATGAAGTTTTACGAGTGTCGATACGCAAAACGATCGTTTTCGGGTCCGATCGTGTTATTAGCTAACAATGTCGGAAAGATTTAGCACAGCTAGGTGAATTTCCATTCAATTGACCCGCCGCCTAATTGACAGCGCACCGCGTATGTTTACCTGTACCGCAGGATTTTCCGGTTCGATGCCATAAAGTTCTTTCGGTGTATCGGGAGACGTTGTTTTGTGGCGGCTCGTTCCCGGAATACGCAAATAATTAATCCCAATTAAAACAGCCGTAGCAGCTCACAATTAGAGAAAAAAGACACAT